TGGAATTCCTGCAGCTCTGAAATTCTGTGCCTGGCCCTCCCCAGGGAGGCTTTAGGGCCAGCCCAGTCAGGATTTCTCCCAACAAAACAAATCCCGAGGTTTGTGCCACACAGGGAGGGGAGTTTGGAGCGCCAGAGCCGCCTCCTTGGCTGAGGAGCTGTGCAGATAAGATTTATTAGGTGTGGGATGGGATCAAACAGTTCCCAGATAATCCTTGAAACAGCAAATCTCAACCACAGGGCTTTGTCTCTGCCCTTAAATCAAACCTGGCTGGGCAGATACTGTGTATTATTTTTAGGAAATTTTCTCTCTTTTAGGAAATGTGGCATTCCACCAGTTTTAAGCTCTGTGTGTGTGCGAAGCTCTGCTCATCCGTGGATTGTTTTTGTGGGGCTCCTGAGCTCTGTGCTTCCCAAGCCATGAACTTGATTTTCCCACTCTTGCACAGCCTCAATTGCATTTCAGTTTAAAAACCTGCTGAAGGCTCCATGGGAGATTTGGGGATTGTCAGCCCAAAATGTGGGAGAATCATGCTCTGTATTCCTATGATGCATTTGCCAGCACAGAGCATAAAATGCAGGGAAAGTAATGAAGTGTTGGAGGAAGCAAAGCATTCGGGACAATTTTGGAAAGAAAGAGCGGTGAACAAACAACTCGAGTTGTGTTTGAGAGCCGGGGTGGGAACTGTGCAGGGCCCTGAGGATGCCAGGAGGGAAAAGGTGAAGCCAGAGCAGCTCCCGGTGTCACCTGAGCAGAGTCAGAGCTCCGAGTGGCTTTGGCTCTGTTCTGTGTCACCCCGGGCACACCGGGCTGAGGAACTCTGGGCCCTTTTATCTCCCTTCCAACCAAAACCCCGAGAGCTGGCGGTGCCCCAGGGCTGGAGCTGCCCCCTGGCACCGCCCTGGGCACCGCGTGTGTTGTTTCAGTGCAATGCCAACCCCTGCTTCCCGAAAGTGCAGTGCATTAACACCAGCCCCGGCTTCCGCTGCGACCCCTGCCCGCCCGGCTTCACGGGGCAGCTGCTGGAGGGGGTGGGACTGGCCTTTGCCAGGGCCAACAAGCAGGTGAGGCCTGGAATGTTCCGTGCACTTCCCTCCCCTCTGCGGCTGGGAACGTGAAGGAGCAGGAGGGAAGCTCGGGGTGATGGTTCCCGGGGATGGGAGGGACTCCTGGCTGATGGAAGGGAGGGTGGGCAGGGGCTGCCAGGGAATTCCCATCCCTGGAAGGGTCCCAGGCCAGCCTGGAGCCGCCTGGGATGGTGGAAGGTGTCCCTGGGGTGGGGATGGGGCGGTTTAAGGTCCCTCCCAACCCAAATTGTTTGGGGTTCCACAATTCCGTGTATTGGTGGGAATGCAGGGAGAGGAGAGTGCCCAGGATGTGCTGGCACCTGGGCCCCAGAGCCACCGCCCCTGTGCCAACCTGGGGCTGGGCAGAGCACCCTGGCACCTGTGGGGCTGTGGGGGCATCCTGGGAACGGGAGTGGGAACGGGAGTGGGAATGGGAGTGGGAATGGGAACAGGAATGGGAATGGGAGTGGGAACAGGAATGGGAGTGGGAACAGGAATGGGAATGGGAACAGGAATGGGAATGGGAGTGGGAATGGGAATCCTTCCTGCTGGGACACAGAAAAGTTCCTGCAGCTGCTGCCACCCCCTCCCGGCTTTTCTGACAGCTCGAGGCGCATCAAAAATCCCAACGGCCTGGGCTGATTGGGGTTTTTAGGGGCCACCTGTGGCTCTGGGAATTTGGGGCTCGTCATGGGTCCTGTTCCCCCTGGGGTGAAGGTGAAGGTGGGTCCTGTTCCCCCTGGGCAGGTGTGCACCGACATCAACGAGTGTGAGACTGGAGCTGCCACCAATTGTGTCCCCAACTCCATCTGCATCAACACTCGGGTAAATCCTCGGGGATGCGGGGAGG